ATAATGCAAATAGGCTGACTAAGTGTTGTGCTTCTTTCTTGGTGGTGGGAAGAGCCAAGTGAAATAGATTATCCTTCACCTTGGAAAGAGTATCCCTGTATGCATGCCCCACACCACTGGACACCTGGAAATTTCACTGAGGTAAAAGGCCCTTGAATTTTGGTTAGACTTCTTTTCCATCCTTTGATACGCATATATGTTACCAAGTCCAAACTTGTTGCTGCTATGGAATAATCCTCTTGTACACTGTGAAAGATGTGTTGCTATCATTGTTAATAAAGAACTGACTGGTCAATAGCTAGGCAGGAAGAGATTAGGCAGGAGAACCATGCTGAAAAAAGGTACTGCCATGTGGTAGAGCATAGATAAGAAATATGGGTTAATTTAAGTTGTAAGAGCTAGTTAGTAACAAGCCTAAGTTATTGGCCAAGCATTTATAGTTAATAATAAGTCTCTGTGTGATTATTTGGGAGCTGGTTGATGGGACAGAAAGGTCTGCCTACAAATGGTGCCCAATGTGGGGCAATGTATATCCACATAAAACCTGAGAAAGCTTAAGAAAAGGTCCAAGTACACAAAAATGGAGCCAAATATGACTTCCTAGTCTCACAGGCTCATGCCAGCCACAGTACAGAGATGTGTCTCCTCGCAGCTACCTGCAGAATGGAGCCAGTCACTAGCCACCATGTGCTAGAGCCATGCACTAAGCAGAGTCACACCAGTGGCTGGTGTAACAATTTAAGATTTATCTCATGCAATCAGAGAAAAATACAGATGCTCAGTAAAGACAGATCTAGATGGAAGAAACCTCTAAATGGGTTACAATGAATTAAAAAATGTACACAGGCCTGAGAAGGAAAGGAGAAAGGGTATAGACAGTCATTAAAAAAGAATAGTCTAAAATTAATAAAGTCCTTAAAAAAGAATAAAGTAATATAAAAGAAAAAGGCCATGTAAAGATGGAAAATACACAGGAAGTCTGAATCCTTTATGTTATTGTGTTGTCTTTGAATTTTTTGATTACTGATGAACAAACAATAGCTGCTAAGAGACATTGATTGTGAAGGCAGCTGGATTAGACCAACATATATATTTTAAAAATGTCTTGACTTCAAAATGTAACTCAAAAGATGTGTTGCTTTGGGGAAGAGGTTGTGCTTTTGTTCCCACAGGAAACAGAAAACTATGGATTTGGTCAATGTTAAAGATGATCGGGTTTGTTTAAGTGTTGGAGGAAGACCCCCTGAAAATCCTGGCCACAGTCATAAAGAAATAAACCTGCTGGGTGGTGGTGGCACACGCCTTTAATCCCAGCACTCAGGAGGCAGAGGCAGGTGGATCTCTGTGAGTTTGAGGCCAGCCTGGTCTCCAAAGCGAGTTCCAGGAAAGGTGCAAAGCTACACATTGAAACCCTGTCTCAAAAAATAAAACAAAACAAAAAATTTAAAAAAATAAACCTTGAAAAACCACAAGACAGCTGCTCAAACATAAAACAAAAAACCATCTTTGGCTGACTCTGTACAACACACAGTCTATACTTGTATTAATACAGAAATGTATGTTACCTTTAAAAGCTTGTGTGTTTTCAGAGCAAGGGACCAGACACCAATGAAAACGGATGGCCCAGGTGATTCAGCCTCTCAGATGCCTCTGTTTCAGTCTCCTCAGAGTTCTGCATCCAGAACAGCTTCAAGGCTGCTGGCTGAGATGGTCCAGCCTCACAGACTATTCTGGCCAAGACTTAACAATTATTCTGATTTTCTCAAGGTTCCTCCAAAGATACCAGTGCCCCCAAACAATGGGAAGTAATCTAGAGAAAACCATGCCGACATTCCCAAAAGATGGTTATGGATGTTTGTCATCATTTGGGGGCGTTGATTACAAGTTAGTATTGGCCAGTCAGGAAAAACTAAACAAAAAATTAAATTCAAAGCCTCTTTCTGAAGGAAAAAAGGGGGATATGATATAGAAATGTTGAGATAAAAGGGTAGGTTATTGAATCTACTTTAATTTAGAAAACTATTAATCTCAAAATATTTTCATTGGCATGGATTTTGGTTTATTGTTACAAATGTAAAGTTATTTTTGTTATACTGTATGTATGTTTCTACTTTTGTTTGGAGTATTTTGCTTATGTAGCTCATTTAAATATGTAATGTATAATTAAGAAATACAGGTTAATAGTCATCTATAATAAACTTGTAGACATATTAGGTATGTTTTCAAAGTTAAACAGATATATTTAGATAGATAGATAGTCTTCAAACACCTACAGAATATGACATTTAAAATATTTTAATAACACGAGGATTTTCTTGACAATGGGATATGTCTGCTCCTGGCAGCACCAATTTACTTCAGAGAAGATGACGGGCATCAAAGAAACTCCAGCTGGAGTTTGCTTTCTTTGTGACAAAAGCTAGCCACTGGGTAAAGAAACTGCCCTTGCTTCAATTGTTGACAGTATGCTGTCCAATCTGGACCAGCAAGATGCAAAAGAAAGTGACTATTAAACTTTGCCAAGACAAGGTAGGACAGTCCTTCAAAATTCCCTCCTTCTCAGAAATGTCTGTCAGATATATTAGGCCTGTAGTCCAAAGATGGATGCCTCAACGTTATAGAGGAAATTTGGGTGTCTGTCTAGGCAGCCAGACATTCCTGTCATTAGGCAATATTACATCCTTCTGGTGTCTTTGATGGAGTTAGAGACTAAATATTTAAACTTATAGTTTTCCTTAGTTATGATAAAAAGTAAATTAGGTATAAAACTTTAGACTCACAAACATAAGATAAATAGAGTACTTTCTCTAAATTTGCCAAATACAAATGGACTGGCTATTGTAACTGTAATGCTTACTTGATAACTGTTTTTGTTGTATATAATTTTACTATGTTAAAGTTAAAACCTTTCTTTTTAACTAGACAAAAAGGGGGAAATGCCATAGAACAATGTTTTTTGTACACTGTGAATATTTGTTGCTCTTGTTGGGAAGAAGAAAGGCGGCATCACCAGTGGATGCAGAGGAAATAGACATGCAGAGAAGTAAAAGCCACGACTTATGTGGCAACACAGATAAATAGAAATGGGATAATTTTAGTTTTAAGAGCTGGTAGGAGAAACCTAAGCTATAGGCTGAGCTTTCATAATTAATAAGAAGTCTCGGTGTCATTTTTTTGTGAGCTGGTGGCCCAAAGAATAGTCTGTATACATATGGTGTCCAATGTGGGGGCTTGACTATTCAAACATAGGGCCTGGGAAAGCTAAGTAAAGTTCTGGACAAGAAGCTGGATGTAGGTAGCTCCCTAGTCCTGCAGTCTCTCAGGCAGGCTGGTGACATAACATAACTTCAAATAACGCTTCCTGCTCAGGGGATTCTAATTTGTGGCAAGTTGACACTAAAACCTGCCTAGAATTTGTGAAACTCGGGGTTCTGAGTGGAGCACCTCAGATATTCGGTGTGGTGGACACATCTGGAATTCCAGCTCTCTGGGGGTGAATGCAAGAATCTCAAGGTCATGCTTTGCTATACAGCAAGCTCAATAAAGAAGAAGGAGGAGAAAAAGGAGCAGGAGGAGAATTTATTGTTGACGTTGAGCGTTGGGACACATGTCTGTTACCCCAGCATTTGGGAGTGTGAGGACGGAGTTCAAGGCCACTTGGGACTATTTAGGGAGACCTTGTGGTCAGGGGAAACAAGGGCTGAAGATGACCCCAACTGTGGTGATATGTTGTGTACCCTAATAAAATTTGCCTGAAGATCAGAGGACAGAACAAGCCACTGGATTAAACATAGAGGCCAGGCAGTGGTGGCACACATCTTTAATCCTAGCACTCAGGAGGCAGAGATCTATCTGGATCTCTGTGAGTTCAAAGCCACCCTGGACTACATGAGATTGACTCAGTCTAGGAGAGAAACAGAGCCAGGCAGTGGTGGCATATATCTTTAATCCCAGTACTGGGAAGCAAACACGCCTTTAATCCTAGGGAGTGATAGCTGGATGGAGAAATCTATATAAGGTGTGAGGAGACAGGAACTAGAGGCTTTTCTGCAGAAGCATCCCTTTCAGCTAGGAGATTTTTTGGCTGGAGCCTATTGGGAGAGGACTCAGAGACATTCAGTCAGAGAATTCGTGGAGTTGGTGAGGTGAGAAGTAGCTGTGGCTTGTTCCTTTGTCTCTCTGATCATTCAGCATTTACCCCAACATCAGGCTCTGAGTTTTTTATGATGAGACCTTTAGAAATTCATGTTACACCTACCACTACAAAAAAAAAAAAAAAAAAAAAAAAGCAAAAGGGAAACAGAACAAGATACTGGATTCTCTCAGCATTGCTTTCCACACAGCTAAGACCTTCCCATCAGCTCAGGAAGCATCCACTCCTTCCTTGTAAGTGCTGAGGGAGACGAAGGTCTAGAGTTAGACCTAGTGGAGGGCATGGTTGGATCCAGCATAACTGTTACCAACAGGAAGCCCAACAGTGAAGATGGGAAGAGTACGGGCAGTGTGGCACACACTAGTCTCCGCATCTCCCCGGTGATCTGCTGTTGAGCCTCTGCCCCCCTGAGCCTCAGTTCCCTCAGATCCTCAGTAAAATGAAGATTAATAACAGCTGCCTTGAAGAATGGCTGTCGAAATCTGAAAATTCAATAAGATAATATGTATGGCATAGTAGATGTACAATAAGCATTTGTTTAACAAGTGAATTATTGTCAACATTTTACATCTTAGAAATGTTAGAGGAAGGGCATTGGGAAGATGGCTCAGTAGTAATTTTTTTCTTCTCAGAACTGAGCGTTGACTAGAGGGCCTGGTGGATGCTAGACAAGCTCTCTACCACTCAGCCACACCCCAGCCTCCCCCCAGCCTCTTTTACGTTTTATTTTGAGATAAGGTGTTGTGTGAAACTTCTCCTGGGAAGACATGAACAAACATCTCATGCCAGGTAGGGAAAAACAATAGACCAAAGTCATGACACCATCAAAGTCCAACGTGGCAAACAAATGAGTTTACTAGGGTCACTTACAGGAATATGGGTGAGGGCTCTCTTACAGGAGCCGGACAACTCAAAAGCAACCACATCACCAAAAGTCTATCCCAGCACATGACAGCTTGAAGACTGGAGCTCTCTGCAGGACCTGTAAGCAGCTGGACAGGATGAAAAGTCTCCCCTCTTCATCACCCCCTACTGTTCATGTGACCTTGGGGAATGAGAGGGTAGTCCCCAAGGTTGGTGGCCTGTTTACTTCCTGAGTCTTAAGGAGCGGGGGGCCCCCCCGCCCCCCGCTTTATATAGAGTATTTCCAGTTAGGACTTCTTGAGTCTTATGGAACCTCACTTTAGAACTGTATGAGTCATATATATATGATAGCCCTCCTATTCCTCCCATGTACCTCCCTTGCTCTTTCTCAAATTCATGGCCACCTTTTCTTTAACTGATGTTATTGTGTGTGTGTGTGTGTGTGTGTGTGTGTGTGTGTGTGTGTGTGTGTGTTCCATATATATACAAGAAATATATATTATATTCCTAAATATCCTTGCTCCATCTATATAATGGTACTTGTGTGTGTGTTCTCAGGGTTGATTTGTATTGGATGACCAATCAGTGTACTCTTCTCTGGAAAAGACTATTTCTCCTCTCAGAACTCCCCAGTTGTCTGTAGTTCTTTATCTAGGGTTGGGTCCTCATAAACATTCCCCCTTCCATGTCTATTGGTGCCATCCTTATGAACTGTCATGTTCAGATATCCATATTGACGAGACTTCAATACAATGCCAAAACACAATGCCAAGTGCAAATCCCTCGATTCATCAGGTACCACAGTTTTCCAGGTTTCTTGAACGAAGTTTTGCATAGGCCTTTGTATCCTTGGAAGGCTCTGAGACACGATTCACATAGGGAGACAAGAGAAAGGAAAGATGTCTGCTAAACAAAAGGTGGACTAGGGCTAGGTGCTGCTCTCTGGAGCCCAGGACAGGTGTAGCCACGGATCCCCCTTTATTTTATACAAAAAATAATTCTCTTGAAGGTTATGCGGCCTCATAGCAAATGCAATCTTTTTTCTATCTATCTGTCTTATAATCTCACGTAAGTAGACCAAAATACATTTTAAAGCCAATAAAGTTACTATTGCTAGAACAAGAGCAACATCTGCTAGGATAAGAAATCTATTAAAGTGATTCACAGGATTGAATGAGGCTATGGTATCTGCAAGACTTACCATAATGTCCTTTCCTGTCATATCAGTTAACTGTTTTTGCAAAAGCTTCTTTAATTTCTTTCTGTAAATCATAAACCATTTAAGGAGAATTAGGGTGACCCAATAAATGCATCTTAACTTTATCCCCATCATACTTGCTTTCATTAAATCTTAAGGGTATGATACAATAACAAGAAACATTCCAATCACATTTTAATTTTATCTGCTCCTTGAAAATATCTAATAGATCCTCTAACAATACAACACTTTGCTTTAACTCAGCTAATTCATTTACTATCTCATTATCAATCTTACTTTGTTCAGTCCAAAGTTCTTCTGAATGTCTCTGCCAGTCTCTAATGAACTCAGCGATTTGGATTTCTTTATGAAGTGCTCCAGCTGTTGCTGCTGTAGCTGTCAATGCAGTGATCCCCATAATAACTGCAGCCACCAGTCCATCCGTCCGATGTGTTCTTTTTAATATTCTTCCAGCGAGCTTCTGTACCAGGATCATCACAGGAGAGTCTTGCCATGGCCTTGACCACTTCACTGGTATCCAGATTGCTGGCCTTGCTCTGAGAATAAATAAACTTTCAAAGGTCAAAATTTAAAACATACTAGAATCAACACAGATATGAAAGGTATAGCATTCACAAGTGGTGCTGTAATTACTAGGGTGCCATTGTACAGGCTCTTTCAGTAGCAAGAAAGGTAATGGTACACATGCCATAAAAGGATGGCTTTGATTTAGTCTAAAAGACAGAGTGTACTTATCATCATTAATCTTTAATTTTCCTTCCCACGCCTTAAGAGGGTGGGAGGCACTTGCCAATTTCCACAAGTTAGTCTGAATTGAATTGCCAAATTGCAGGAGAGGGCTTGCCATTCCAACTCCATGCCACTGAATAGGTTCATGAACAGAAGCACTGATTTCCACAGTGTTATTTATTTGCAGCGCTATTTACTGTGTGAGAGAAAACATGAGGTACAACAAAAACCCACTATAAGACTTTTTATTAGGGGAGGGAAAAGGGATTGTGCAACAGGCCTATTAGACATGAATGGTGTGGAAAAAGAGGCAGGGGAATCAGTTTTATAAGTCCCCCCCCAAACCCCCACCCCCACCCCACCCCCCGCTGCCGCATGTGCATATGGGCTTCTGTAACTATGCCACGCATGTGCATAGATTATGTGATCAAGCCAGACATGTATTATGTAGGAAGAACACAAGGCCCTGGGATGACTAAGCATCTTGCCCTATTGCTGGACAGTCCATTCAAATTATACCATTTCCATCTTAACTCTGAGTGAGAATATTTTCCTTGAGGGGAGTCATAGAGCTCCAGTCAATGATGTCTCTCTTGGAGATATTAATTAGCACTCAAGATTTCTCACTCTTACACTATTGCTCGTTGGTAACCCTCATCTCACAGAACGGTGCCCTGCGCCCGGGATCCTATTCCGAGGTTTACTCTACCTACAACTGCCTACTTTTCCATTTGCCCAGCTACTGGAATGCCTCACACAACACTAGCTGCTTTGATTGGTGAGTTTCCCCTTTACCAGGCAGCATAAACAGTTCCCTGGATCCATGGGAACGACTGTCGATCATCTGGTGTCCCTCTGGTGTCCTTGGGACTGGAGGAACCCCCATCCATGGCCTTCAATGGCTGCAGTTGGCTCCCATTGCAGGCTTAAATCTGTAGCCATTCCCCGTGACTGCAGTCTGAGATATCGTTCTCACTGTCGGACCCTCGTCCTTGGGCTGTGTATATCCTGTCCCTCATTCTCTTGCTTGCTGAAGCATTGAATGACTTGTGCCAATTGCTGATCCTCGCTTGATCTCAGGGATGCCTGAGATTGTAGTCTTGGATCATGTTTATTTATTTTTATTTTTTCTCTGTGCTGTAGCCATGGGAAACAAGGCTTCCAATTCTATTAGTCCCACCTCTCCTCTGGGATGTCTTCCAGAAACTCTTAAGTCTCTCAGCTTAATGCCTTAAAGACCTCTAAGCTTGTCCACCTGTGCACTAAAAAAATGGCCTAAATATCACTTAGATAACAATAAAAATGGCCACCTAATGGCTCACTGGACCCCAATATTTTTGGCAATTATCTAACTTCTGGCAGCGAACAGGCAGATGGAAAGAGTTACCTTACATCCAAGCTTTTTTTTTTTTTTTTTTTAACCTTGGCTCTAAACCCTCCCTTCCTGATTCCTTCTCTCCTGCGCATATGCTCCTAGCTGTGCAACCTGAACCTGGGGAATCTCTGACTACTGCTCTGGACGAACCTGTAAACGAACCTCCACCTATCCGACCTCCCGCTCGCTCCTGCTCCTTGGGCGTCTGCCCCTTTGCTCCTCCTCCTGTCCGACACCAGGCCCTCCAACTGCCCGACTCTGGCTCCAACCTTTACTTCTCCGATCACTTGTTCTTGAGCTGCCAAGGAGCCCAACTCCAGCCGTGCCAACCCGGCAACCATTCTCCCTTTGTGAGAGGTGGCCAGGGTGGATGGACTGGTTAAGGTTCACATCCCTTTCTCCCTCATAGAACTTTCTCAGAAAAAAAACTGGGGCTTTTAAATCTCTAATCCTGCTTCCTTTATTAAACAATTCTAATATATTACCCAATCTTATAGCCTCACCTTTCATTATATATATATATATATAAAATGAAATATATATAATGAAATATATATAATGAAATATATATATAATGAAATATATATATAATGAAATATATATATAATGAAATATATATATATATATAAAATGAAATATATATATCTTGCCAATAACCTACTCTCTGAGGAGCACAGACAGGTTTGGGAGCAAGCTAGGACACATGCAGATGAGATTCATCAAACTACAGGACCCATGATGGGATTATAATAACCCAGATGGCTCTCTAGCTAGGGATTGGTTTACAACCTGCCTCCTGGCAGGTCTTCATAAGGCTGCCCTCAAACCAGTAAAATATGAAAAGCTAAAAAACATAATTCAAGATAAGGAAGAAAATGCATCTCATTTTTTAGAATGGCTTACAAAGGCTCTCTTACAATATTTGAGTCTAGATCCTGAGAGCCCAGTGGGCAGACAGCTCCTTATAACCCACTTTATCTCACTGAGCTTCCCCAACATAAGGGCTAAACTTAGGAGAGAGGGCCTCTGACCCCACAGGCCCTTAGTGGTGACATTTAAGGTGAACCATGGGAGAGATGAGAAAGCCTGTAAACGGAACTGCCAAATGCTGGCACACGCTATCCAACCAGCCACCCAAGGGCCTCCAGGGCCCTGGTTGAAATTTGGTAGAGAAGGCCACTGGGCTCTGCCCTGCCCCACACGGGCCACCATATGGGCCTTGTCCAAAGTACCACCAACAGGGACACTGGTCAGTTGACTGCCCCTTTGCACCTCACGGCATGGGAACATCAAACGAAGACCACCCTCCAGCCGATCTCCTAGGCTTGGTGATGGATGATTGAAAGTGCCCTGTTTGCAGCCTGACCACAGTCATCTCTCACAGGGAACCCCGGGGGTAGCCATTACAGTATCGGGGTGATCCATTTCCTTCCTTTTGGACACTGGAGCCACTTACTCAATCCTGAGGGAGTTTGAGAGTCTCACCTCTCCTCATCTCCCTATTGTTGGGATAGGGAGACAGACTTACCCACCTCACCAGACTTCACCACTTAACTGTATTTTCAGTTGTGCCAAGCTGTCCTGTGCCCCTATTGGGAAGAGATTTTCTAGCTAAGGTAGGAGCTTTTATTTCGTTTGTTCTTCCCATTTGCCTCACTCCAGACTCATCAGCAGCTCCTCTCTTCCTCCTCCTAGCCACCCAGCCTACTAGCTCTAACGTTTCATTTCCCTTGCAAGTCTCTCAGGTGGACCCCAAAGTCTGGGATACCCAGAACCCTCCTATTGCTAGGCACCATCCCCCTATTATTATCCAGTTGCAGGACCCTACCAGGTACATTTCCCAGGCTCATTACCCTCTCTCACTCCAGAGCCTTAGGGGACTTAAGTCTATCGTTTCTGACCCTCTCAGAAAAAGGCATGTCCCAGATCTCTCTCTCTCTCTTGCTAACACTAAACAGTAAAATTCTGATAGCAGAGTACTAAACATTATAATATCATGGCTACCAGCTCAAGATTTTTAAATTCCCTGTGGCTGCTTCTTAACATGTTTAAAAATTCTTCCAAGCTCCAGAGCCAGCTTGAATTCACCTGGACAGGTCAGATCCACTTCAGATAAGTACAATTCAAACTTTCCTGGTCCTGGGACACCTCGGGGGCCCCCCAAGATAAAAATTTTTTTCTAAATTTCTTCTTCTGCCTTACCAGCACCTTGTTGGACCCAAACAGTCAGATCCAAGCAGCAACGAATGATTACACAGAGCAGCAGAAGGCAATGGATGATTCCCAAGGCAGCGGAGGACAATCAACCATCTCAGGATGTCCAGCTACCTCAAAAGCCCCCTTCCTTACCCTCAAAAGTTAACTGACACCCACCAAGTCAGCTAGAAGCAGTTTTGGGGGACACGGCACCCCATTCCCGTTTACCCGCCATTTTTTTTTTTTTTTTTGATAAAAAAAGAGTCTGGAATGTTAGAATTCCTAGCCACTCCCCCAGCTACATGACTGCACATGCACTGTCCAGTAGCCAGGTAAGATGCTTAGTCTTCTTAGGGCCTTACATCCTATGTAATCTATGCCCTGCATGATTACATAATCCATGCACTGTGTGATCACATAATCTATGTGCATGCATGATGCAGCTACATAAGCCCATATGCACATGTGTGTGGGGACCTATAAAAGCGGGTTCCACTTATTCCTTCTCTCTCTTCCTGCACGGTCATCCCATAGGCCTATGCACACCCTTTCTATTCCCTTCCCTTAATAAATTCTTATAGTTGGTTTTGTTGTGCCTCATGGCTTCTCTCGTATGGTGAACAGTGCCATTTAATAAGCATAACCTCGGCCCTAACTTAACATTTTCCCTGGACTATTTTGATGTTAAAAGATTTATAATACATAGGCTGACTCAGTTCAGCAGTTCTTTCCACAATTCAATGCTGTTCCTGTTTCATTAGCATTTGAAAATTTTAAGTTAGTAAGGCATTATGCAGTCTATCCCTGGGGGTCCTCATATCCCCTTTCTGTTTAGCAAGCATCTCTTTTAGATTAGATCTCTCAACAATTGCTTGTCCTGTAGGATTGTATGGTATCCCTGTAACATGTTTTATGTTGTAACACGCAAAAAAAATGTTTCATTTTATTGGAAACATAAGCTAGGGCATTATTGTGGGAGCCCACAACTGACTCAGTTTCCCAGTTTGAATCTGAAGTCTATTCTGAGTCAATAGAGTTCAAACTTGTTTGCTCCAAGGCTGTGAGAAAGTTCTGACTAGCCCACAGAGTCTCCTTGAAGGGCTGTGAGAAAATCCTGATTAGCCCACAGAGTCTCCTTGAAGGGCTGAGAAAGTCCTGATTAGCCCACAGAGTCTCCTTGAAGGGCTGTGAGAAAGTCCTGATTAGCCCACAAGAAGGAACACACCATCTAGCTAGATGTGGGCTGCTGATGCCAGCCACAGGTACATTGAGATAGAAAAGAAACTGCCTGCTCCTTGCTGCAAGGCAGGATAGATAGTTGCTGAATGCCTGTGCTGTGCGTTGTTCTACCTCCGTCCTTCAAGACTGTATATAAGCTGACTGTGGAATAAACTCGGGGCTGTCCGGCATTGACCGGCAGACCTCTCGACTCTTTTCTGTCTTCTTCATTGTCTCTGCAGTCCGCACGCCTCTACCCAGCTACCCAGCTGACTGTCAGCAGGCCTGACACATTATCAGTCTTAATTTGTGCTGGTATGCCTATTACAGCCATTGCTTTTTAATAAATGTGTAATTATAGAATCAGCCTTTTCAGAACTTACGGCAGATGCCCATTGGAACCCAGAATAAGTGTCAATGGTGTGATGAACATATTTTAATTTTCCAAAATCTACCCAATGAAATACACCCATTTGCCAAATTTCATTCCTTTGTGAACCTTTAGGATTATTTTAGAAACTTTTTCATATAGGCTTTTAATTTTTTACTCTGTTTGTGACCTAAGAAAATCCATTCCTAAATATAATCCTCTCTCTGAATAATGAGTCCAGCAGGGGAATGGTTTGAAGGTAAAATTACTAAAACATACCTCTTTGTGAGGTCTAATCTATCCATATGGGTATTTTGTAATTTTCATTCTACCACGGCTAATTCTTTTTCAACCTCACCTGTTAACTGTCTTGGACTGTTTAAATCTGAGTCACCTTGCAAAATTTGAAACAAATGAATTAATTCTTGAGTAGACAATCCAATTGTAGGCTGCAACCAGTTAGTATCACCCAATTATTTTTGAAAATCATTAAGAATATGCAGTCAATCTCTCCTAATCTGTACCTTTTGTGGCTGAATTCTCTGCTTACTTAATTTATAGCCTAAATAGCTAAAAGAATCTCCTCTTTGTATTTTTTTTTTCAGGAGAAATTTATAATTCCCTATAGAGTAAAATTTTCTGTACCATATTAAACATTTTTTCCTAAGGTATCTGTATCAGAAGCAGCCAATAAAATATCATCCATATAATGATAAATAATAGACTAAGGAAATTGTTTATGAGCTATTTCCAGTGGTTGATTTACAAAATACTGACATAAAGTTGGGCTATTTAGCATTCCCTGTGGGAGGACATTTCAATGATATCTCCTTACTGGTTGAATATTATTATAACCAGGAATTATAAAAGCAAAATTTTCCCTATCCTGTTCCTGTAAAGGGATAGTAAAGAAGCAATCTTGTAAATCAATAACTATAATAGGCCATTTTGTAGGGAATAAGGTAAAGGAATCCCCTTACCTTCCCTTAGACTGGTTTTGGTTTTCTGTGATGGTCTCCATCTGCTGCAAACAGAAGTTTTCCTTGGTGAGGGTGAGGATCACACTAATCTGTGTGTAGAAGGACAAATACTTAGAACGTAGTTAGTGATTATGCTGGGTTAGTAAAGTGACAGTTGTGGGTTCTCCTCCAAGATCCATGGCTTCACTAGCCCTGGGCAGTTGGCTATTTTTCCAGTATCAGGCATGATTCCTTCTTGTTGAGTGGACCTAAGTCCAATTAGAGAACCGTTGGTTACTGCCAAGGAATATGTGCTACTACTGCACCTGTGGGTATTATACCCTGCTGGTCATTGCGGTAGTTCACAGATTCATAGCTGGGCAGGACTATTGATTGCTTCCCTGTGGAGGCCCAAATTATTCAGGGTCCGAGAATCTGAGCTTGCTTTACCCAGCAGGGCTGCATAAGGAGATGATTTGACCACGGGCCATGGTTACCAGATGTTTGGAAGGGTCTACACTTGGCTAGGCTGTGTGCTTTGATCTAGCAAGGGGGAGGTCTTTTGCCTCTCCCCTTGGCATTGTTATAAAAAGTCCTTTTGAATAAATGGAAAAGGCCGTTGGATTTTGATCCAGGCCCTCCCAAAGCTATGCTGTGTTTCTGTCTTTCCTCTTGTCGTATGTCTCTTTCTATCTGATGTTTTCTTATCCCTCTTTCCTCCTCATAGGAACCCTTGAAAAGGTGGGAGCTGGCTCCCACACTTCCCTCCTTCGGAAGGTTGCATGGTGCTTTCTGATATCATGTATTTCATTCCTTTGAATTAACTTGTATGGAGTTCTAATCTTTAGACTCTGGGAATTTGATAATGAGAAATATGCTCTGTGTTGAGTGGATTTTAGATTTTATTATTGAAAAATTTGTTTCTTTTTGGGTTTTGGAGACAGGGTTTTTCTGTGTAGTCTTGACTGTCCTGGATCTCACTCTGTAGCCCAAGCTGGCCTCAAACTCACAGAGATCCCCCTGCCTCTGCCTCCCAAGTGCTGGGATTAAAGGCGTGGGCCACCATGCCTGGTTTTCTCTGACATCTTGAAATGTAGTCCTCAGGGAGGCTTTCAGGTCAGATCCAGCTTGGGTCCTTGTATCCGGTGTTTGAAGTGCAATCCTGTTTCAGCAATAGGGATTTACTTTCCACCTCTAGGGGGCAGCCAAGGACAACAGCACTAGCCTATAATGTTTTGAGAGTCTCTGGGACAACCCTGACCAACAAGGGCTTTGTTAGACGGTCTATGACTCTTCCGGGGAGCATCTTTCAGGGAGCATAGTTAGTGCAGATGAGAAAGTTTCATTTAAGCTATACATGTATATATAGACACAGATTTACGTGTATTATAGGTGTTGTGAGTTAATAGTTAATCTATGATTCCTTATGGCCTCTTCACACACCCTTACTGTTATCTTACCCTCCTTCTGTATTTAGCGCCCTCTCTCCTCCCTGATCAGAACCCCCTCCCATTCTCCCCACTTCCTCACTTGTACCCACTATTCCCCTCTCTGTTGCTCCCCACCCAACAATGGTCCCCTTTACTCTCCTGGTTTAAATGTACTTACTCTAGGTTATATACTCACATCTGATGATTTGGAGCTAGGAACCTCAGAAGAGAGAAAACATATGAGCTTTGTCTTTCAGGGTCTTGATTAACTTACTCATCTACTTACCTGAAATTTTCATTTTTCTTTATATAGCTGAATAATGTTCCATAGTATATCACATTTCCACTATCCATTTCTTTTCTTTTTCCTTTCTCTCTTTCTTTTTTCTTTTTTCTTTTTCTTTCATTTTTTTCTTTTTCTTTTTCTTAAGACAGGGTTTCACTGTATAACCCTGGCTGTCTTGGAACTCATTCTGTAGCCCAGGCTGGCCTAGAACTCACAGAGATCCACCTGCCTCTGCCTCCTGAGTGCTGGGATTAAAGGCATTCACCACCACCACCTGGCCCCATTACCCATTTCTAAGTTGAGGGGCATTTGGATTGTTTCCACTTTCAATGAATATGGCTCAGCAAGTGCCAGGTATGGTGGCGCATGCCTTTAATCCCAGCATTCAGGAGGCAGAGGCAGGGAGAGGGACCTCTGCTGTGGAACAATCATTTGTACACTGTAGAGATTTGTCACTGGAATTGGTTTAATAAAATGCTGATTGGCCGATAGTCAGGATTCTTGGGGCAGAGAGTATGCTTGGAAGAAGGGCAGAGTCAGAGGAGTCACCAGTCACCTGGAGAGGAAGCAGGACTTGCAGGAGAGGTAAAAGCCACGAGTCTCAGGGAAGCACATAGATGAACAGAAATAGGTTAATTTAAGTTGTCAGAGCTAGTTAGTAATAAGCCTGAGCAATTGAACGAGCATTTATAATTAATATTAAGCCTCTGAGTGGTTATTTGGAGAGCAGCTGCCGAGACACAGAGAAACTCTACCTACAGATCTCTGTGACTTCAAGGTCAGCCTGGTCTATATAGTGAGTTCCAGGACATCCAAAGCTACACTGAGAAACCATGTCTGGGGAAGAGAGAGAGAGAGAGAGAGAGAGAGAGAGAGAGAGAGAGAGAGAGAGAGAGAAAGTAAGCAGAAACCATGGCTGGCTGAGCAAATATCTGTGGAATAGGGTGTTGAGTCCTCTGGGCATGTGTCCATCAGTACTAGAACTGGGTCATATGGTAGATTTATGATCAGGCTTTTCAGCTGGTTTCCAGAGCCCTGGTCCAGCCTGCAGTCCCGCCAGCACTGAGTGAGGGCCCCCTTTCCCCGTGTCCTCTCCAGCACTTGTTGTGGGTTGTCTTGTTGATTTGCGCCATTCTGACTGGGGTGAGGTGGAATCTCAAAGTTGTTTTGACTCACATTTCTGCAATTGCAAGGGATGGCGAACACTTTTTGAGATATTTCTTAGACATTTCTATTTCTTCCCCTGAGAACGCTCTGTTCAGATGCCATGCCCATAGTTTGAGAGGGTCATTTGTGTTTTGACTTTGTTTTTTTTAGTTCTTTGTAGATTCTGGGTAGTACACACCATCAGATGTCCAGCTGGCAGAGATTCTGGCCACAGAATAACATCGGATCATCTGACTGAAACTTAAAATGCCAGAAGGGCTTGGGACGATGTGTTTCCCTTTCTGAGAGACAGCAACTGACAACCCAGAATACCACTCCCAGCAAAGCTCTCTCTCATCGTGGTGTACCACATGTGTACTTGGTTGTATGGTCAGTGCTGGTGGCCTCCCAGAGCGGAAGCTTCATCTGTCACATAGACCTCGACACAGTCTGCCGAAAAGGGAACGTGTGTCTGCCCTACCTTTAGCTTAGTATAGACTCAGTGAGCAGAAACCTGATCTTGATCCAACGTATTTGCAGAGGCATGGTAGCAAGACAGGGACGATTATGGATGCATGGGAAGGGAGAGGAGCCCTTGCCCTGAAGTCTGGCTGAAGCCTCTCCCCAGCTGAGGAGCAAGAATTCCAGCCAATGTGAATGATGGCCACATGGAGATAATATTCCCTTCATAAATAGGTAGGTTTATATTAAAATAGCAATGAACGAGACTTAAAGCCTGAATGTATATGACCTTGAGTAGGGCCTCATTCCTCTCTTGGATTTTTGATGGGACTCTCACAAACAGCCCAGACACCACTGATGGGTCATTCCCTCATGAGAGTGAAATCTAGATGGGCAGATGTACACTTTTAAAAGACTAGAAGTGAGCCACTGTGAATGTCCCAGGTGTTCCGGCTGATCAAGGAACAGACCTGTGATGTCTCATCTCTCAGAAGCATATTCCTCAACTAGTTTGAGATTTCTAGACCAAGTTGGTGAAAATCCCCTAAATGAAAGCCCGCTTCATTTTCTGCCTTCTTATCAATGGCCTTCTCTTCACAGGCTTCCGGCTCCATAATACACTGACCAGGAGCAAAAAAACGAAGCACCGATTCACAGGCGGCTTCCACCCAGCTGACCTCGAGAGGGCTGCGGGTCCCCAGAGCCTGTACCACGCCCAACTGCATCGTGTCCTCCCTGGCAGGGAAGGCCCCGCCCACGTGGGCCTGTCCGCCTGGGACTTGTCCTCAGACTGGCACTTGTAGACTCTGTGGCCATTTTGGATGAGGGCTAGAAGACAATGACCCAGAGAGACCGGTGACGACGTAACCCTGGGCACAACCGCTAGGGAGCCTAGTTCGTGAGACCCCAGTGCCACCATTTTTACGCAGGCGTCCTCAAGTCCTGATTGTGTACCTGCTACTTTCCGTTTTCAAGTTTTACCCACATTAGGGTGCGCACGGAGCTGGTTTCTGTCCCTTCTCGGCCCTGGTACCCGACCGCGGATACCTGGGGCTGGGCAGGCGTCCCCGGGCGCGCTGGGCTGGCCGGGGGCCGAGCCGGGGGATCCCCATGGCGCAGCTGCTTGCCCCGGCAAGGCCCTCGGCTCGGCCCGGGTTCGGGGAGCTCGGGGTCGTGAGCTTCGCGGACGTGGCCGTGTACTTCTCCCCCGAGGAGTGGGGCTGCCTGCGGCCCGCGCAGAGAGCCCTGTACCGGGAGGTGATGCGCGAGACCTACGGCCTCCTGGGCGCGCTCGGTGAGAGCCTTTCCTGCCCGCCTGGGCTCGCCCCACGCGTGACGCCGTGGGTCCAGCGGTGGAGCGGGGAGCCCTGGGAACTGGAGGCAGGGACCAAGTGGGTTGGCCTCCCCGCATCGCAGGGTTTGCTTTCTTTCCCTCCAGGAGGCGGAGGCGCCAAGCCAGCGCTCATCTCCTGGGTGGAGGAAGAGGCGGAACTGTGGGGACCTGGTGCCCAGGATCCAGCGGTGGCCATGCGTCCGACGGAAGCAGACTCAGGTGAAGGACTGAACACTCCGGCTTTGGGGCACTTCTCAGTAGCCGGCCCGTTGTGGTGCCTTCTGGTGACTCCACTTGCCTGCCTGGCAGTTTCTTCCCTGAACTGTTTTCTTGGCCAACGTCATTATGCCTGGCCCCTGGCTTCACCTAGAGAGGGGCTGTGATGGTGCCTGTGCGGTACTCTCGCTGTGGGTCCCTGCCGGAGGCGCCTTCAGTTCTTTCTTCCTGTCCACCTCCGGCAAGTGCTCAGCCCTCTGGACTTGGGGTTGGGGACCGCACTGATGCCCTGTGTGCTGCCTCTGGACATCCACGCACCCTGCATGCTCAGATGCGGTGGCTTCGCCCCTCCAGTGCCCTGTCTGTCACCACGTGGGGGGTGTGGGAATCAAGGAGCAGGATGAGTCGGAGTCTGAGCTTTTTCTTGGTCTCCGAGCAGATTGCAGACAAGAGGAAAGGAGGAGACCAAGGGAAGAGACTGAGGCAACCCAGAAGACATTTCCTGCACAAGCTGGACCGAAGAAGCCTCACCCCTCCTTTGCAGGACCCCCTTGCAAATTGGAGCCGCTGTCCAAGGACACTCACCAGGGCCACCCCCCTCTTGGTGTTCGCGCCACCGTCCCAAGAGCAGATCGGCGTCATGGCTGCCGTGTGTGTGGGAAGAGTTTTGCCTGGCGGTCCACGCTGGTGGAGCACCTGTATACTCACACGGGGGAAAAGCCGTTCCGTTGCCCTGACTGCAGCAAGCCCTTCGGCCGGGCTTCCTCCCTGAGCAAGCACCGGGCCATACACCGAGGGGAACGGCCACATCGCTGTCCCGACTGTGGCCGGGCCTTTACGCAGCGCTCAGCCCTCACCACCCATCTCCGTGTCCACACTGGAGAGAAGCCCTACTGCTGTGCTGATTGTGGGCGCCGCTTCAGCCAGAGCTCCGCGCTCCATCAGCACCAGCGGGTGCACAGTGGCATGACCCCCTTTCCTTGCACAGACTGTGGCAGAGCCTTCGCCCATGCCTCAGACCTTCGGCGCCACGTGCGCACGCACACGGGTGAAAAGCCTTACTCCTGCCCCGACTGTGGACGCTGCTTCCGCCAGAGCTCTGAAATGGCAGCCCACAGGCGGACCCACAGCGGCGAGCGTCCCTACCCCTGCCCTCAGTGTGGCAGGTGCTTTGGCCAGAAGTCAGCAGTGGCGAAGCATCAGTGGGTCCATCGGCCAGGAGCTAGGGATCATAGGGACAGAGAAGCCAGTCAGTTATCTATATCCCTGACCACAGGCCAAGGGGACCCTGATCCACCTGTGGGCTTCCGGCGCTATCCAGAGATATTCCAGGAGTGCGGGGGGGTGGTCTTAAAAGCCCCAACATAGAGAGTGAAATATACACACTGTTGGAAGCCCAGAGGCTTGAACCTATGGCATCCTCCGGAAGGCACAGAAGTTCTAGCAAGGGCTGGTCCTGGGGACAGAGTACAGCCTTGTGGGTGGTTACCAGCTGCCTTTGCACACACACTGATTCCACTCTCCGAGGCTCTGAGGCTGTTGGGCGGGGTGGGACGCCCACTAGAACGCTATGAGAAGCAAGGCCCAGACGGATTGAGAGGCTTGAAGAGAACCTTGTTTAACCCATTGCCTCGTTAGTGCCGAGGCGGAAGCAGATGGCTGTGTGTGAGCTGAGCCAGCTGCATTGTCAGGGGTTATTAGTTACTGGTCAAGAGCTGCGTGTGGTGGGGCACGCCTCTGACCTCAGCACTTCAGGGGCAGAGACAGGAAGGTCAGGAATTTGAGGCCAGTTTGGGTTACCTGAAACTTCATCTAAGGTAAATAAATAAATAACAAGTGAAATTATCTGAGGTTTAAAAGTCAAAGTATTTGACACACAAAAGAAGGTCCAGGTTTCTAGCTGCTCTTGAAAAATAAAACAGAAACTCCAAAAGATTGAGCCAACCAAGGAAGAGAGAACGCTGCATGTACTGGGTGTGGGGCACATGCCTATAATCCCACCACTTGGCAGTTGGAGGCAGGAGGCTCAGACGTTCAAGGCTGCCCTCACTTACACACACACACACACACACACACACACACACACACACACACACACGGGTTGGGAGTGTCTCAGCAGGTAAAGGCTACAACTCCCATGACCTGATTTCAATGGTGCAAGGAGTGAGCCATTTCTTGAACATTGTCCTCTGGTGATATTTAGTTTTTTCTGACTCAGAGAGGGTATGTGTATCATTGGATGGCCGAGAGGGGGAAACAAAACAAAAAACAAACAAAAACAAAGTTCATAAGCTTTATTTCAGTTCTTCCCTTGTATTTTGTGGTTTTCAAAGTACTTTCTTTCTATGACCTTGTTTACCTCTCTTAGCTGCCTCGGAAAGGAAGCAGTTTGAACAGGAAGACTAGTCAGGAAGAGGCACTTGGGACCAGATATCTGACCCTCTGTATTCACTCTGCCTTTGCCACTCATCTGTATGTCCACTCAGGAGAAGCCAGCTAGCCAGCAGCTCCTGAATTTGGAGGGAAAGGCCCTGGAAGTTTTGCCCAGTTGGAGTCTCCTCACCTGTTTGAACTGGAGGAAATCTTAGCTTTTCTGTCCCTTTGTGGTCAAAGACAGATTACAGGAGGCCAAACAACCTGCCTAAGATCACACAGTGAAGCTGTAGGGTTCACAGTCTACTGCTATCTGTTGAGAGAGAGAGAGAGAGAGAGAGAGAGAGAGAGAGAGAGAGAGAGAGAGAGAGAGCATGCAGATGCCTGTAGAGGCCAGAAGAGGGTGTTGGGTGCCTTGGAGCTACAGGCAATTGTGAGCTACCTGAGGTGGGTGCTGGGAACCAAACTCTGGAAGTGCCATTCATTAACCTGTGAGCCTCCTCCTCGGCACACTTTTTAAGAGACATTTTAGTATCTGCTAGCCTCCCGGCAGCTGAGACTGAGGTGAGTGTTAATCTTCACCCCTGCTGTCTCCACATCACTGGTGAGTTCCTGCCAGGACGAGTGGAAACACCTGTGGGCTGAGTAATGAGGAGTCTGTGGCAGGAGGATCACAAATTCAGTGCCATCTGGGCTACTGTCCCCCAAAATGTTTGTACACACTGCTCATCCAGAGGACCTAAGTTCAATTCCTCACAACACGTCAGATGGCTTACAGCTGTCTGTCACTCTCACTCCAGGCTAGGGCCTCGGGGGGCACTTGCGCTCATGTGCACATACTGACATACAATTAAAAATAAGAGGAGGGGCTTGGGAACATAGTTGTCATAAAGTACTTTCTAAAGCCTAAGGAACCAGACTTAAACCCCGGCACCCACCTAAGAAAGTCGGGTGGCAGGTAAGAGTCTCCCTGGAGCTCACTGCCAAGCCTGGCCAGCCTCATTAGTGAGCTCCAGAACCGTGAGAGACCCTGTCTCCGAGAAGGCAGACCCAGTTCCTGAGAATGACATCTGAGGTCTGGCCTCCACCTGCACATATGTACACACGCCCACATCCCCTCAAACACGCTTCCACACATTATTACTATTATTGTATGTTCACGCACGTGGATATCAGGACGGTTTGGGAGAGTTCGTTCTCGTCTGTGGGTGTGTGTCAAGTTCACACCATCAGATTTACACGAGAGCACATTTACCCTCTGACCATCTGACAGCCTACACTTACAATTTTAAAAACTTTCATTTGGCATCTGAGGATGTTATTTCATAAAACATCTTTTTTAATCATTGCAAACAAACAAAAAAGCATTGCAAACCACACTTAATCACTACTATCATTTGTTTTTTGGGGGGTTTTGTTTTGTTTTTCGAGATAGGGTTTTTCTGTGTAGCTTTGGTACCTTTCCTGGAATTCACTCTGTAGCCCAGGCTGGCCTCAAACTCACAGAGATCCACCTGCCTCTGCCTCCCGAGTGCTGGGATTAAAGGCGTGTGCCACCACTGCCCGGCTATCATTTGTATTATACACTTTCCAAAATCGAAGCCTGGAGTTTATGGTCAAAGTCATATCGATATGTTGATTACTTTGTGTGTGTGCCGAGGACTGTACCGTGTTATGATACTGCATGAGGGAGGCCCCGGCTGGCCAGCCAGGGCATCCCATGCGCGAGGGAAAACATGCCCGGCAGATGCAGCGGCGGGCTGCGGTGCATAGAAAGTCACTCACACCCCAGGCACTGCATCCACATGGAAATGAAGTTTATTATAATAAAAAGATTCGAGAAAGATAAGGAAGAGGGAGAGAGAGAAGGGGAGAAGAGAGGGGGGCAAGGGTGCATACCTCGTGGAAATGGAGAGAGGGGGAGGGGCAGTTTTCTTTTTTAAAGGGGACTTTACATCAGGAGGCTGGGTGAGTCTCCCAGGGGGTATTAGATAACTAATACCCAGGGGCCTCATGAACTCTGCATTGTATGACTGGGTGTCCTCAGCCTGGATTTGTAGTTCTTTAATGTGAAATGACTCATTTAAAGGGCTGGAGAGATGACTCAATGATTAAAAGCACTTTTCTTGAAGAGGTCCTGGGTTCGAGTCCCAGCACCCACACGGTGGCTTGCTGCCATCCACAAATCCAGTTTTCATGCTGTCGTCTGGCCTCTGAGGGCACCAGGCACACACTCGTGGTGTACACACTTACAAAGCAAAGTACTCCATCAGTGAAAGTAAGTTCTTCATTTAACCGGGACATGGTGGAGTCTGGTTTCAGCACTGGGAGGGCTGAGGCAGGAGGATTTGAGTTCAAGGCCAATCTGTCTCAAAGAAGTCAGTCATTTGGAGCTGGGGCTGTGGCTCTGTATTTGACCCTTCTGAGCATGTGCGTGGCCCTGGATTTGTTTCCTAGCACAAAGTAAAAGAAAAAGCTGCTGGGTGTGGTGGTGCACGCATTTAGTCCCAGCACCTAGAGGCAAAGGCAGGTGGATCTCTGTGAGTCAAAAGCCAGAGTCTGTATTATCTTCTCTAGCCAGTACTGCATCCTTCCTTGATTTTATTATCTTATTCTCCCACACGCCTGCCCATTCCTGCATAACAAAAGATCTAAATAACAACAATAGATGTTATGAGGAGAGCTGGTGAGGGCCTGCAGAGCCTCACAATAAATGCTGTTCTGTGATATCTGAATCACCCCTCTGTGCCGTGAATCTCCTTAGCATATTCTACCTGCTCATGACTTACTCGCTTAGCCTTGAGCTCAATTATGCTATCAGATCAACGTTTACAGGATGGCAGCTAACCTTTATTTTACTGATTAATGACCCCCGAAGTCCAGGGTAGTGATGTGGGCAATTCACACGCCAAACAGAAGCCACAGAGTACTTCCTTTAAATAAAAAGATGAAGGCTGTTGACTTAGTAGAGAAAGAAAAACACGAAGATTAAGATCAGTGATACCATCCACTAGGGCGACACACACCTCTAAACTCAGCACTTAGGAGGTCCAGGCAGGAGGCCAGGGGCTGGAGAGATGGCTCAGAAGTTAAGAGCACCGGCTGCTCTTGCAAAGGACCCAGATTCAATTCCCAGCACCCACAAGATGGTCTATAACCATCTGTAACTCTAGTTCCAGAGGATCTGATGCCTTCTTCTGACCTCCTTGGGTACCAAGCATGCACTTGGTACACATACATGCAAGCAAAACACTTACACCTAAAGTAAATGAATAAATTTAATTTAAAACAAAACAAAAAAAAACAAGGCCAGATTTAGTTACAAAGGGAGTAGAGGCTAGCCTGGGCTAGATGAGACTTTGTCTCAAAGAAGGGATGGTAGGGGGGAGAACTGGGAAGGTAGTTTAGCAGTGAGAGCGCTTCTTGAATAAGCCTGAAGATCTGAGTTTGAATCCCTAATTCCTATGGTAAGTTCTGGAAACTTGAGACTCTTCTCAAAGGAAGAGGAAGGGACAGAGGCGGTGGCAGCTCATGCCTGCAATCCCAGTACCGAAGGATTTCTGGAGTTCCAGGCCAGCTTGTGCTACAGAGCGAGACACTGACACACACACACACACACACACACACACACACACACACACACACATCAATTTAATTAATAGAGATAGAAACATCAGAAGACCATGACAGCCTGATGACATTGCCTGTCACGTTGGAAAACACGTCCTTGGTCTCTCTTATCACCCAGGCATTGCACCATCTCACAGAGTCACAGGGTGTCTACAGTACAACAAACACTGGAGTGAAAACATCAGGTAGCTGTTACTACTGGATCCTTTTGCAATTGTCCTGTTTTGTTTTGTTGTTGATCTCTTCCTATGTCTGATTTATAAGTTAGACTTTACCATATGTGTGTACGTATGTATTCATAGGTGTGGGAAGAAATAGTACATGTAGCATTTGGTACTATCCTCATGCTGGGCACTTCCTGGGTTCTGGAATGTGATTCCCTATGGAGTAAGAAGTGCCTACTGTGTACTTTTTGGAAGGAACATCATTTGGGAGCAGTGGTCCACTCCTCCCAGTTTCCCCCAACCTCTCCTCTGCCCCCAAATCCACTACTCCCCTGTTTCCTTCAGAAAAAAGCAACTTACCTAGTATTTTTTAACTCTTTTTTGTTTGTTTTTCGAGACAGGGTTTCTCTGTGTAGCTTTGCGCCTTTCCTGGAACTCACTCTGTAGCCCAGGCTGGCCTCGAACTCAGAGATCCACCTGCCTCTGCCTCCCGAGTGCTGGGACTAAAGGTGTGCGCCGCCGCCGCCGCCGCCGCCGCCGCCGCCGCCACCACCACCACCCGGCTTTAATTCATTCTTGTAATACAAAAATTCCTTCTGAGTGTCCATCTCTTTTTCTCTAACATCTTTTATATGTCCCTTTTTGTTTGCCTGTTTGTTTTTGAGATAGGATCTCACTATTCATCCTTGGCTAGCCTGAAACTCACTCTGTTAGCTTCCCATTCACAGAAAGCTGCCTGTCTCTGCCTCCTGAATCCTGAGATTAAAGGCATGGTCATCATCCCCAGTTATATGACTTACCTTTGGAAGTGATTCCCTTTTAAAGGAATGTCCTTTTTATTCGTTACAAATTTAGCTTGTGTCTAAATTTCTAGTCCCTTGTGTCTAAAGTCTAGATCCCTTTTGGACCTAGCATATGGTCAATTTTACTGAGTCCATCATGAATACTTTTGAGGCCGTTTTTGTACAATTTGGATAAAGAGTCGACCCAAATCCTTTAAGTGTGCCACAGGAGAGTTGATAGAGTGAGTTGTAGTCCATTTGAGAAGGACAGAAGTCAAGGTATGCCAGATCCTTCCAGGACCATCCGGAATTTGAGTCAACCAAGCCATTCCAAGAACTGGAGCTCAGACTGCTGTTGGAAGTTAGGTCTCTACTGAAGGGCCGTCAGTCACATTTGTAGGGTGGATTTGACCTGACAAGAAACAGCTCTAACAGGCTAGTTGTTAGAGGTAGGAATTTGGTGTGTCTTAACGTTTCTAATGGCAATATCGATGACCCAATTGCTTGGACACAGTTAATATTCTTGTCTTTTTCATACTGGTAAGAATTCTATTGGTTTGGCTATAGGGGTTGTGCCTCTAGAGATATCTCCACAAAAGGAAATTCCCTTTGGTAGTGTGGAGGGGATCTTTCTGGAATAAGCTCTCCGAAGACACCAATGAGAGCGGAAAAGGAAATGTGGCCAGTGAACCAAAGCCAGGGCTCCTGGAAGCCTCGGTCTCCAGTCCAGTTTGCATTCGCATTATAGACTCTAAAACCACAAGGTGGGGTAGGCCAGCAGCTGAAATTTTACAGACATCTATGAGGCAGTCAGCAGGTTGTTAAGGGCAACGACCCAGTGATTCAGCTATTCCTCCTGGTCATTTTGTTCCAGGTAAAAGGTGAAGTCATGCTTGGCAAATAGGCAGGACAAGCAGTGCTCTAAGTGAGGCTCCAAATAGGACATAAATCAGGATCTAATAATTGGTCTTTTCTGCCTTATTCTTCAGCAGATTAAAGTAGAGCTCCTGCTCATGCTTGCAATCCCAGGATTTGGGAGGGAGGCAAGAGGGTCAGGAGTTCAAGGTTAGACTCAGCTATATAGAGAGTTCAGGAACTACATTCTACATTCAACCATGTCTTTACAAACAAAATGGGGCTGGTTTAATGGTTAAGGTAGCTTGCTGCAGCTGGGTGGTGGTGGTGGCGGCGGCGGCGGCGGCGGTGGCGGCGGCGGCGGCGGCCACCTTTAGTCCCAGCACTCGGGAGGCAGAGGCAGGTGGATCTCTGTGAGTTTGAGGCCAGCCTGGTCTACAGAGTGAGATCCAGGGCAGGCTCCCAAGCTACACAGAGAAACCCTGTCTCGAAAAACAAACAAAAAAGAGCTGCTCTTGCAGAGGACCTGGTTCAGCTCCCAGCACCTACATGGTGACTCAAAACTGCTTGAGTCTAACTCGGGCAGGGTTGTCCAACACCTTCTGGACTCAGTGGGCACTGCATATACACCTCCACATATACATAATTAAATTTTTTTTTTTTTTTTTTGGTTTTTCAAGACAGGGTTTCTCTGTGTAGCTTTGCGCCTTTCCTGGGACTCACTTGGTAGCCCAGGCTGGCCTTGAACTCACAGAGATCCGCCTGGCTCTGCCTCCCGAGTGCTGGGATTAAAGGCGTGCGCCACCATCGCCCGGCCATAATTAAAATTTTTAAATCTTTAAAAAATATCTAAATACCAAGGGATTAAGAAATATGTTATAACAGAGTGACAGTTGGTGGAAGTGTCAGAGTTGAGCACTAAACTGCCCATGTACTTGAAGATGAATATATTATAATATATTATGATATATTATAATATTATCTATTATCTAGAGTCCATATGGATGTGTCTGCAGTAATGGACACAAACCTTAGCTGAGAAATGTAAATCGAAAAGTATCTCCTGAGAATCCTGGATGTGTTGTCTACGCTAGTTGACAAAGTCCACTAGTTTCAGCTCTCACCCATTCATTCTTCATTTGTCAGACACTCACCGTGACTTTTAATATTTAGGGGTCACTTTAAAGAGTCCCT